CCCTCAGCGCTGACCCTCCGACAGTGCCCGCTCCCTCAGCACTGACCCTCCGACAGTGCGGCGCTCCCTCAGCACTGACCCTCCGACAGTGCGACGCTCCCTCAGTGCTGACCCTCCGACAGTGCCCGCTCCCTCAGTGCTGGTGATGGGGAACCTCAGAGTGGATTACAACTTCTGATCCCTGGGCAGTGTTTTGAGCCTGGGACGTGCTGAATACCAATTAATGTGCTTTTGACTTTAACAAGTGCACAGCTGATTGAATTTCTGATGTTGTTTCTTTTCCTCCCAGGCACCAGTAAAAATATCCAGGAATACAACCTGCCGAGAGAGTGCATCAGGAATTACTTCCCCAGTCGCAAGTGTTTTGTGTTTGACAGACCGGCCGATAAGCAGACAATGTGGAACCTGGAGCAGGTTGCAGATTCCCAGCTGGATCCTGAGTTTGTGAAACAGACCCAGAAATTTGTTCAGTATGTTTACAGCACGGCCCAGACCAAGACATTGAAAGGAGGGCAACCAGTGACTGGCAGGAGTAAGTGACGTTATACCGCCCCCCACCGTGTTGGGGGTGACAGGGTGTGTTTACCAGCAGAGACCAACCATCCAGTTCCCAAGTAGAGTCAGACAGCAGGTGGAACATCGGCTCTGCCTCCCTTTTCACAGATGCTGCTGGACCTGCTGAGTTTCTCCAGCACTTTCTCTGTGCTTGTCACTGATTTATATTATATATCTGTCTGCGTCTGTCTGTTTGTGTGTACATATATCTTTGTCTGTGTCTGGGCCTGTGTGAGTGTTTGCGTGTGTGCGCGTATGTCTATGTATGTACGCGCACGTGTCTGTGTGTGTGTCTGTCTATATCTGTGTGTGTGTATGTGTCTGTGTGTGTATCTGTGTCTGTGTGTGTGTGTCTGTGCGTGTATCTGTGTATGAGCATGTGTGTGTGAGAGCGTGTGTGGGTGTGTGTGTGAGAGCATGTGTGTGTCTGTGTGTGTCTGTGTGTGTGTATCTGTGTATGAGAGCGTGTGTGTATCTGTGTATGAGAGCGTGTGTGTGTGTGTGTCTGTGTGTGTGTCTGTGTGTGTGTCTGTGTGTGTTTGTGTGCGTGTGTGTGTGCGTGTTTGTGTGCGTGTTTGTGTGCGTGTGCGTGTGTGTGTGCGTGTGTGTGTGTGTGTGTGTGTGATTGTGTACACCAGTAACAGTGAGCTGTCCCTATCTAACCCCCTCTGCCCCCCTCTCTCCCTCAGTGCTGGGATCCCTCGCTGTCACCTATGTGGACGCAATCCGGAGCGGGCAGATCCCATGCCTTGAGAGTGCGGTCCACACACTGGCAGACATTGAGAACACGGCTGCTGTACAAGAGGCCGCTCAGGCCTACCAGGAATGGATGGGAAAACGGGTCACTCTCCCAACGAAGACGGTGGAGGAGCTATCGAAGATCCACAACCAGGTTCTCCCTGAGGCCCTGAAGCTGTTCATGGGGCGCTGCTTCAGTGACCAAGGCCACAGGTACCAGGAGCAGTTTACGGTGAGTATCGGAGCAGAGCGAGCTGCTATCTCCAATAGAGCATCCAGTAATCACCACAGCAGCAGGCCATTCAGCCCCATCTCTACCTTTGGCTGCTTGGGACCAGTCCCATTCTCACTGCTCGTTCCCATCCTCCCCATGGTCCTGCTAGTTGCTCCTAGTCGTTGTATTTATCTGATTCCACACCTCCAACTTTTGAGAGTTCTGATAGGACTTGCTTCCTCTCCCTTTCAGGCAGAGGGTCCCAGACCACATGCAATTTGGCGGTTTTTCCTCTGAGTAGCTTGCTCAAGAACACTCGATTCTGTGCAGCTCTATCAAATCCCCCCCCACCCCCTTAACCTCTCCTCCTTGTATTACAACAATCCCAGAATCAGAACCAACGTCCCTGGCCCCTGGAGTCCCGCTGCGCGCAGTCAAGAGATCTTTGTGCTGAGAAATTGGAAGGATTATTTTGGAAACAGACATCCTAGGGAGAAAAAAGGTCTCTCTTTTTGTTTTGCCACCTCCACAATCCTTGCATTCCGTTGTGAGGCCTACGATGAAGGGTTTACGGCCACTACACGTTTCCCAGTCAAATTTCCTATGTCAACTGTCACGGTGTCCCGGCCCTGGCCACCGGGTGGAGCAGTGGGCCCTGCCTCAGTTTCTGAAATTGCTCACCCCCCACCAGTGTCACCCTCCTGTAGCTGTCCAATGAGAAGGTTTGTCTGTTTGGAAGAGACTGTATAAAAGGAAGGACATGTTGACATGGCAGTACAAGGCATGAGACTGCAACTGGAGTATTGGGAATTTTTGATCCCTTTATTTCGAGAGGTGTCATTTTATTGGAAGCAGTTCAGAGGAGATCCACCCGATTGATTCTGCAGTTGAGGGGTTTGTCTTTTGAAGGGAGATTGAGCAGTTTAGGCCCATACTCGCTGGAGTTGAGGAGTATGAGGAAAGATCTCATTAAGATGCTTAGAGCAATTGGAGACGTAGATGTAGAGAGGACATTTGCTCATATGGCCTTATCGAGAAGGAGATGTCATTGTATTAGGATAAGGGGTAGCAGATTTAAAACAGAGACAAGGAGGAATTACTTCTCTCAAACGTCGTGGATCTGTGAAAAATCATACCAGAGTCTGGGGTGGCCCAGTGGCTTAGTGGTTAGCACTGCTGCCTCACAGCACCAGAGACTCGGGTTCAATTCCACCCTCGGGTGACTGTCTGTGTGGAGTTTACACATTCTCCCCGTGTCCGTGCGGTTTCCCTCCGGGTGCTCTGGTTTCCTCCCACAGTCCAAAGACGTGCAGGCTAGGTGAAATGGCCATGCCAAATTGCCTGTAGTCTTCAGGGATATGTAGAGGTTAGGTTAGGTGTATTATGGGAGGATGAGTCTGGGTGGGATGCTCTGTGGACTTGTTGGGCCAAAGGGCCTGTTTCCGTACTGTAGGAATTCAATGAATACTGGGATATTGAAAGTTAAGTCAGAGATAGACACATTTTTAATCAGCAATGGGTGAAAGGATTCTGGAAAATAGTCACGAAAGTGGAATGGAAACTGAGATGAGATCAGCCTTGACCTTCTGAAATGTTGGGGGCAGGTCTGAGCAACTGAATGGCCTCCTCCTGCTCATGTGACAGGGCCAGGAGGAGGCGCTACACTCTCTCAAGGCTGGCCTGCCATTTGGTGAGATGGGGGACAGATGTGCACCTCAGCCCTCAGTGCGGTTCCTCATCGTACTGTTGAAATTTCTCCTGTACACGTTTCTGAACAGAAAGAAGTGGCTAAAATGTACGCAGCCATTTGTGAGAAGAACAGAAAATTGTCTGTGGACATCTCGAGCAGAGCCATCTTGGATCTGGGAGCTGTGGTACAGGAGAAGATCCGAAAAGGATCTTATATGAGGTCAGGAGGATACTCCGAGTATGAGAAGGACATAGCCAAGCTGGTGAAACGATACCGGGCAACACCGGGGAAAGGAGTCCAGGTAACGTTTGGAAAACTGGGAACATGGCCAGCTCTTTGCAGACCACGATCCCTCCCTATCTCCGTAACCCTCCTCCCGCATCCCACACCCCTCCCTATCTCTGTAACCCTCCTCCCAGCCCTAGACTCCCTCCTTATCTCTGTAACCTCCTCCATCCCCTACACCTCTCCCTCTCTCTGTAAACTTCTCCAGACCCTACACGCTTCTGAAATCGAATTCTCCCATTCTGTCCTGTCTGTGTCTCTGTGTGTGTGTGTGTGTGTGTGTGTGTGTGTCTGTTTGTGTATCTGTGTGTGTGTGCGCACCTGTTTGTCTCGCTATCTGTTTGTGTGTTGTTGTATGTACGTCTGTTTCTGTGTCTGCTGTGTGTGTGTGTTGTGTTTCACTGTGTTTTTTGAAAAGGTCTCTCCATCTGTAGGTCAGTGTGTGTGTGTCTGTGTCTGTCTTTGTGTCAGTGTTTGCCTCTGTATCTGTATGTGTGTGTGTCTGTGACTATGCCTGTGTGTCAGTATTTTACGTGTGTGTATGTATCTCTGTGTGCGCCTCTGTGTATGTTAGTGTGCGTGTGTGTGTGTCGTTTGTCTGTTTGTTTCCATGTGTGCGTATCGGTGTGTGTGTGTCAGTGTCGGTGTGTGTGTGCATGCGTGTCTGTGTGCTTGTGTGTGTCTGTGTGAGTGTGTCTGTGTGCATGTGTGTGTCTGTGTGCGTGTGTGTACGTGTGCGTGTGTGTGCATGTATATGTCACTCTCTACCAAATCCACTGGTAAAATGTTGCTCTGTCTCCTGCTCCTCTGCCTTTGACCTTTGTCCCTCAGTCTGTTTTCTGCTCAATTTGTGGAAAGATAATGCTTGTCTCTACAATGGCCGATCTCTTCCTCTCCACAGGCTGATCAGGTTCTTCAGGATTTCCTGGGAAAGAAGCAGCAGCTCTCGGATTCCATCCGAAATGCCGATAAGAGTATGACGGCTTCAGAAAGGAAGATCAAAGGTACCATCCCCCTCAATTCTGAAGGGAACGCTCCATAGCCAATCAGCACTGACTCTGGGAGGGGGTCCAGAATTCCCAATGAAATCAGAAACCCAACTAGAGTCTAGGATTCCTTCCTCCTTTGGGACACTCTGGGTGCAGGCCCTTTGGCCTATCGTTCTCTGTGTTAGCCCTTTGCAATCCCATTCTACCCCTGCCATCCCTTTCTCAGAGACCACCTGTGGCCCCATGGGACTGTACCACTGACCTTTCATCGGAACGTAGAAAATAGGATTGGGAGTAGGCCATTCAGCCCTTTCCGTCTGCTGCTCCATTCTGCTGATACTCCTAATCAGTCCCCATTCCTACTCTCGCCCTCAGCGAACAGTGTCCACACATTTAAAGGGTGGAGGAGATCCAAAATTAACCAGGGCTGGGGGTTAAATTGAAGCAGATTGAGTGTAGAAGCTGAAGGGGGTGGGGGGATCTAATCAAGTCTTTAAGGACTAGATGGGGGAGAAACACTTACCGCTTCCTACTCAAAGGGGCTAATGGCCTTCCTCTGATCCTGTGGAAAAGGCTCGAGGAAGGGGCCTGAATAACCTCCTCCTGTTACTGTGTAACAGGCCTGTAGGGCTGAATGGCCTTCTCCTGTTACTGGGTAACAGGCTCGAGGAAATGGCTGAATGGCCTCCTTCTGTTCCTGTGTAACAGGCCTGAGGGGCTGAATGGCCTCATCCTGTTCCTGGGTCCCTGTCTGAAGGAGAGAGGGGGAGATGGCACCAGACAGTGACACGGTAAGGTGGGTGGGTGGGGGTGCGTTGCACTGTGCGCGGAGCTCAGAGCCCAGCACGGGTTAAGAGGGGCCGAACTGCCTGATTCCCCCCTAATCTTGCTGTTCATTCCCTCTGGTTGTCTCTGAGCAGCTGCACGGGAGAGGGCGGAAGTGGCAGAGCAGGAGCGGAAAGTAAAGGAAGAGGAGAGACGTGCCACTGAGCAGCGTCTGTTAGACGAGAGGCGGGCGATGGAGGCGAATATCGCTCAGTTGAAAGAGAAAGCGAAGGAAGAACAGGCTCAACTGCTCAAGGAACACGAGAAAGTCCTGAACCAGAGACTCCAGGAGCAGGAGAAGCTGGTAAAGGAAGGATTCCAGGGCCGTGCAGATGAACTGCAGCAAGAGATCGACTCTCTGAGAAAGGAGAAGGAAGAGGCAGCGTCCCCTTCCTTTGTGGATCTGGCTATTGACACAGCCATTCTAGCAGCACCTGGCTTTTACAAAGCTATCCCAATCACTGCCAAAGTAGGGAAATATCTGTGGAACAAGTTCTTCTGAGTGTTATCTGTGCCAGCTACAAACAAACCCCCAGCCCCCAACCCCACAGATCAGTGGAATGAAGGCCACTCTGCATGGTGCAACCGAACGATAGCAGAGATTAGAGAGGGAGAGTGGCCGTCACTGCCTTGTCCATGCTGGGAAAATGAAGGCTTCTCAGGGAGGTGAAGTTAAAGATCATGGTGAAGGGGCAAAGTCCATTATGAATACCCCATAAAACCACTCAGCAAGGAACTGTTTTATTTATAAGACAGTGCTGTCGGAAACTTCTGTTCCCCTCATCCTGTCATGTTTGAAAGCCTGTGAGACCTGGGTGGACGTGGGATGTGGGCTTTCAACAGGTCTTGGTGATTCCAGCCCTGAGGGTGCAGCTCAGAATCAGTCCTGTTTGTGGCTTGGCTCCCTCTTTAGCGACTGGGATCTTGTTCTGAGCTCTCTCTCTGTTTTAGAAGCTGCTGCCTCTCTCTCTCTATCTCTCTCTCTCTCTGTTTTAGAAGCTGCTGCCTCTCTCTATCTATCTCTCTCTCTCTGTTTTAGAAGCTGCTGTCTCTCTCTGTCTCTGTTTGAAGAGCTGCTTGTTTCTCTCTCTGTCTCAGTTTTAGAACCTTCTCTCTCACTCACTCTCTCTCTCTGTCTCTGTTTTAGAAGCTGCTCTCTCTCTCTTCCCCCCACCACCCCCACATCTCTGTTTTAGCTGCTGTCCCTCTCCATCTCTCTCTGGTTTAGAAGTTGCTGTCTCTGTTTTAGAAGCTGCTTTCTCTCTGTCTCTCTCTTTCTGTTTTAAAAAGCGATTGAACACTGTTTCGTCAGTCTCTTTCCTCTGCACATAACCTCAGTGTTTGCTGTGCTCTGCTCTGTGTGTGTGTGTGCGTGTGTGTATGTAGAGTTTATGAACGGGTTTGAGTTTCAGCTGCGATAATTATGGTTTAATTGTGTATAACTTTCTCAGTGATTGGGACTGATTTAGTTTTAATAATAAATGATACGTTGTGTCACATACAGAGACCTGCTTGGTGTTTTCTGCAAACGGGGATCCAGCCATGGACTTGTAGTCATTCCAAACGGCCTTGGGGTGATATTTGAATGTTTGTCTGCAGCCCCTGAAGAGGGGCTTTTAACTTTGGTGCACGTCAGCCTGACGGTACGGCCCTTTTGCAGATTCGGAGGTGGGGGGTTAGCTGTGGGTGAGGCTGATGAGAGGGTCTCGTTGTGGGTACGGTCCTGAGCCGAGCCAAAGTGACCATCAATAGGTCAGTAAGGCAGACTGTGGTATTGATGGTCTGCTCTTCTCCTGTGGTTACATCAGTGCCTGGGTCACCTTGGAGAGAGAGCACACACTGGTACAACAGTGACTATTAGAGACCAGTGGGCACCCTGGGTGATGGGGTCGCCAATCGAATTGTGATACATTTCCATCAAACTTCTGCAAGTTTCTGACGACTGCTCGATTCGTCTGTTGCTGCCCCTCCATTTCTTGGCATCGGGACATGTTCTCGAAAGATTTCGGTGGCAGACTATGGAGTGCGAAGTTCCTTGGGAAGAAGTTTATTCCACACCGAATGTAAAAAAGACATTTTTCTTCTCAGTAAGGGGATCAAGGGCCAGGGGAGGAAGGCAGCAGAATGGGATTGAGAAACATATCAGCCACGATTGGATGCTAGCACAGACTGGATTGGCCCAACAGTCTAACTCTGCTCCTATATCTTTATGGTCTTGGGGTCTGCGTCGAAAATGCAAGTTAACTCTTATCCATGCAAGATAATTTGGGTTTCAAGTCTGAAGCGCAAATTGAAATCCTTCTGACTCTGTACAAAGTCGTCTCTTGTAGCCTCTAAAAAGGAGAAAGATTTCAGGAATGCTACCGTCGATTCAAATGGGAACGTACGCGTTCTCCACGGGTTGACTATTCCTCAGCCTCGACGTTAGAACTGCTGGAGAAAGCTCTTGCCCACATGGAATGTGGTGTTCATGACCCTCAGGAAGGCTCTGTTTCCCATGCCACCAGTGTGCAGCTACTGGTCCTGGTTTGCTGAACTCCTCAAGGAGTTTGCCTCCTTCCTGGAGAGCACTTCTCTCCAAAATCGCCTCCTGCCCAGCTGTCAGGCTTTCCCAGGTTCACGCCTGCTCCCTCCTTGCTTCCCCAACCCCTTTCCTCCGCCATCTCCGTTGAGCTAATTCCACTCCAGTTGGCTCTCTGTGTTCTTTAAACGGAGAATGACTGCAGAAAGCTACAGAGAAAAGGGATTTGGGAGTCCTCGTCACAGGAAGGCAGCTTTCGAGTTCAGCGGGTATGGGGAAGGTAAATGGACCATTGGCCTTTGAAATAAAGGGAATGGAGTCTAAAAAAGAATGAGGTTTCACTAAATCTATACAAGGCACTAGTCAGACCAGAGCTGGAAAATTGTGAATAGTTTTTGGCCCCTATATCTAAGGAAATACATCCTGGCCTTGGAGGTAGTCCAGAGTAGGTTCACTCGGCTGATCCTGGGTATGGAGGGACTGCCTTAAGTGGAGAGGTTTTGTAGATTGGGCCTGTTACTCATTGGAGTTTAGAAGAACGAGAGGGGACCGTATTGAAACTTACAAGATTCTTAGGGGAAACACAGTGTGGAGCTGGAGGAACACAGCAGGTCAGGCAGCATCATAGAGGAGCAGGAGAGTCGATGTTTTGGGTCAGGACCCGAAACGTGATTTCTTATGGGACTTGGCAGGGGGGATGTGGAGAGGTTGTCTCCCCTTGCGGGAGAGTCTAGGACCAGAGGGCATCATGTTGGAATAAGGGGTCGCCCATTTAAAACAGAGATGAGAAGGAATTTCCTCTCTTGGGAGTTCGTAAATCTGTGAATTTCCTTATTGCAGAAGGCTGCTGAGGCTATGTTATTAAAAATCTTTCCTATCCTCCGAATATACTTAATCAGTCAGGGGGCATTGAGGGTGATGGGGGAAAAGGCAGGAAAGTGGAGTTGAGGGAGATCAGGTCGGACACGGTCTTGTGGAGCAGACTCGATGGGCTGAATGGCCTACATCTGCTCCATTGCCCCTTATGGGTTTGCAAGATGTGCCGTCTCATTGAGTACAGGTAAGGTGAGTGCTGTTAGCTACATTACGAATATCCAGGCTGGCGAGCTGAAAATAAATACAGCACGATACTACACACTCTGTGTCTCCCAAGTTCAGGAAGTCCCCTGTGATTTCACCAGCGCAAGTTGTGGCTCACCAAGGTTTTATAGACCAATAGCAATGCCATTTTAATGCCTCCTAATTTCGGAGGCTTCTTCATGACAGAGGCGATGGCCTAGTGGTATTATCGCTGGACCGTGCATTCTGTTATAGACCAGACCAAACTCCCTCAAAATATGTCAAGGAGACAACCTAGACCCAAACTTTTAATTTTATTTAAAGTCAAATGTAAGGTGCTGTTTTCCAAATTGGTCTACCACTCGACTTTAATGAAAACATACTTTATTTTAACTGCGTTATAAGAATACCAAAACAAAATTGGCATAACTCTAACACTATTGAAATATTTAATAAAATACTATATTATTTAACTACTAATCATCAATTGTTCCAATATAACAGTGTCCCATAAACACGCCCTTGGCAAAGGCAAATCCAACAGAACAGACTTTCCTCATGTACTATCCCCTCTCCAGTCCAGGAGATGGGAACACTGAAAGAAACAATCAACAGCAGAAAGAAGACTCAAGCTTTTTTGTTTGCTGCAGCAGAGAGTGAGCTGTATCCATCAGCTTCAACAGCCAACTCTGAACCTCGACTGAAAGCAAAACTGAAACCCTGGGTCTGTGTGAGCCTGACTCCACCCTCTCATGCTTCTTTTGTC